GAATACCAATTATCTCCTTGCAGACTTTGAGGAAGGAGCAGAGCAAAACCACCTATGTGCATCTGTAATTAAGAATCCTGATAATGAATTTCACTCTCTTAATCACAGCTACAAGTGAGCCGATTGCCAAGCCTGACTCGGAAAACAGAGCGAGAACTTGTGCTAGGAAAATGGCTCCATACATGCTGAAAGCTTTCTCTGTATTCCATAATATTGTCCACACCACCCAGGGCCGGCTCTGGCTTTTTTGCCGCCCCAGGCAAAAAAAGCCTCCCGACGCCCCCTGCCGGGGAGTGCGGCAGGAGAGGGCGCCGAGCCCGGCCGCGGCCCCGCTCTCCCCGGCGGCCGGAGCACCGGGAGGAGGGCGGCGAGCCCAGTCGCGACCTCTCTCTCCCCGGGTGAGCGCCGCCCCCCTCCAGTTGCCGCCCCAAGCACATGCTTGGAGGGCTGGTGCCTGGAGCCAGCCCTGACACCACCACACACGCTCAAATTGTCATAGCTCCATTGACTTAAGTATAGAGACAGACCCTCACCTGCCTAAACTGTCATCACTCCTCAGTTGCTGTACATTGTCATGTACGTCAATGGAGCTTTAACAATGTACACCAACTGAGGATCTACCCTTTGGTGCCACAATAGCATTGTTTGGTGTGGGGTCTCAGTCTTGGCCTCTGATGTCACAGCTCTTTTCCTGGCACTTAGTGCAAGAATTTGGAGGGCCTGCTCCTGCTTTCATTGAAGTCAATGGGAAGTTTTGCAGGACTGGGCCTAGAGACTTTTAAAAGCCCCAGGTGTGTCTGAGACCTGCTCCACGAATCTCCTGGATGGGTATTTGTGCTTGGCCACTAGCCATGGTTTAAAGGAGCTCACCACAGGTGCTTCAGTCTGCAGGTAATTGTGCCTGTGCTATGTCAGGGCCTAAAGTGTAGAACCCCAAATAATCCATATCTCCTAACTTTAAAAACAGCTTAGAACAGTTTTATTCTGAGCAATTTGTTCTCTTTTAGTTTGACTGCTGTTACCCTATTATCTCTTCCTTCTGTCACATTTGGTTTTTCCTCAGGCACTCACTTCATATACAATTGGCTTTATTTTATTTTTTTAAAAGGTCTTAGGGGACAGATCTTGGAATTTTCCTTTTTAAAATGGGTGGAATTCAGACTGTAAGCTCTTTGGGGCGGGGACTATTTTTGTTCTTTGTACAGTTCCTGGCACAGTGAGGCCTTGGTCCGGTCCAGGACTGGGGTTCCTAAATACTACAATACTAATACTACTAATGGGCTAGTTTTAACCTATAAAGCCCTACATAGTGTGGGTTAAACGAGATGTAGTTTCTCTCTGCCTGATATACTGTCACAATCCAGATATCCAGAAGCAGTGGAGCTAGAGCCCCTTTAATCTATAGGAGATGGAGCTGCTTGCGGGTCATTCCTGGAGAAGTCCTCTCTTGGTTGGCCAGAGCCCAGATATGTTAACCTTCAGGCATGCTGCAAAGCTCATCTTTTCTCCTTCTTCGTTAACACAGCTGGGGAGAGTGTGTGCTGAGGTGGATCTACTTATGGGAAATCCCTTGTTTATAGTTATACTGTCATTTTGAATGTAGGGGATAGGTACCCAGAGCACTACATGAGTTTCAGTGAGCTGTATTTTATACATCTTAAGAAACAAACAAATAAATAAATAAAAAACAATTGGTGAAATCTGAGCTCATTGAAGTCAATGGTAGTTTTGCCTCAACTTTAATGGGGCCAGGATTTCACCCTTTGTATTTTAAATTTGTTTTTGCAAGGTTGTTCAGTACCTTGAGCAGAGAGAAGTGCTTTGTAGCTATAATTTATTATTATTACTATTACAACTACTACAACTACAATAAAGGTAATTAGAGCTAAAATGCTTCAATACTTTCTTAAGCCTTCCCTGCATTAGCCACACATGCTACATTTGTCTGAGGTAGAATGTAAACTGCATGGGAAATGGACCTTATCTTTATGTGACTAGTGAAGGGTACACTTGGCGAGCTCTGTAAACAACGGTAGTGGGGAAAGGATGATGCTGGAACTAAGCTAGAAAGGTATTTAGAAGAAAAACCATCATGACAGAGAACCACTAGACAGATGGGGTGGATAGATCTAAATAAGCCATATGGCCTCATTCCATCCCAAAATAATAATATGCCACTGATTTATATAGGAACCACTTTGATTCCTCTCCAATCTGCTCTGAAGAGCAGAAAATTTCAGTTCTGTTTAGAGACCATGTGCTATGTATGAAGTCGTACAGTACATGTATACCACCCTCTATTCTCAACCGTTCACCTTTATCAACCAGCCCGGGCTGGCTCAGGGATTAAACAGCACAAGTTTTAGCTCAGAATTTCAGTCCTGATCCTACATATTTGAAATATGCACTTCAAAGGGGCCTAAGTGAGCTAGGCAACCAACTCCAATTAATCTTTGATGTTTGCAGTGTTCTTGCAGTCTCTGATATGAGTTACTTCTGGGGGAATTCTGTGCCACTGCGCATGTGCAGAATTTATGTCCCCTACAGATTTCTTTGCTTCCCCACAGAAAAATGGACTTTCTGACAGGGAAGCAAAGGGAAGACACAAGAGCGGTCATGTGACCCTCCCCAGGAGTATCTTTTCGGGGCCCACGGCAGCCAGCCGAGAGATAAATCACTGTGGGGCAGGAGGCAGGATGGATGGCTCCTACCCTGCACTGGGCTCAGCTGCTAGTCTCGGCTGGGCTGGGGAGGACAGGACTTCCTCTTCCCCTGCATGGCATCCAGGGCAGGGTCAGACCCACCCCCCATATTTCTCCCCTGGCTGCAGGAAACTCTGCAAACTCCCTCCTCCCCTGCTTCCTGCACCCATTGCTCCTTAGCTGCAGGGAGAGGGATCCCTGTACAGGGAGCTGCTCCCCCATCCGCCCAACCCCCATGAATACAGACCCCCTCATAGCCAGACCCTCTTGTCAAGCCTCACCCCCCACACTAAGCCCCACTTCCCATGTACCTGGACCACCCTGATGAGCCACCCGCACCCAGATCTCCATCCCACTGAGCCCCAACCAGCTGCACCTAAATCCTCACCCCACTGAGCCCCATTCCCCCAGCATCTGGACCTCCCACTAAGCCCCCACACTGAGACCCCCTGCTGAACTCTATCCCCACACCCCCAGACCGACCCCCCCTTGCTGAGCCCCAACCACCTTCACTCAGACCCCCCTGCAGAATCCCATTACTGTTGCACCCAGAACCCCCCAACAAGCCCCCCGCACCTGGATCCCCCACTGAGCCACCCACACCCAGATTGCCCCACACAGAACCCTCTCAACCCACGCCTGGATCCCCCCACACTAAGCCCCTCCACACTTGGATCCTGCCTTGCTGAACCTGCCTGCCCATACCTGGTGCACCTGGCATGGATGGGCAGGGCCCTGGGTGTTTCTGGGGCAGGCTCGGTTCTTGCGTTGTGTCAGGGTTGGGTGCCGCCTCACCGCTGATCACTGTGCAGGGGGAGCTGCACAGTGATCTCCCACCTCTCTGCAGCCAGTGGCCTGTGCTCCCAAATTTCGTGCTGGAGCCTCCACACTTATTGACAAATAAAATTTGCAGAATTTTAAAATATTGTGCGCACAATTTTAATTTTTTTGGTGCAGAATTTTTAATGTTTTGGCACAGAATGCCCTCAGGAGTAATGAGTTACGTGCACGACTAGCCCTCTAAGCCAATGTGAGAATCCAGTCTAGAGTAATATTTTTTGGCTCAATCTAAACTTGTTTAGGGTCTAGATTGTGAGTATCCCTTGTGCAGCCACAAGGTACCTCTTTTCCCATCTCACATGCTCCATGCACGGTCACTTAAAGTTGTAACCCCTGCACTCAGGGAAATGCAGGGACAGTTCTCTTGGTGTCCCTCCCTGGGGAAGGAGGCACATTGCCCCAAACTGCCTCACAGTACAGGCCAGGCACAGCAGCCAACAGAGAGAACTCTCCTAAAGGATGATGCAGCTTTTTCAGTTTTTCTGTGCACCGAGCCAGTCAGGGTGGGATTGTGCCTTGTTTGGGCATAATCTCTCCTTACACTTCTTCTGGAGCAGTGCAACACACACACACACACACACACACACACACACACACTCACTCACTCTCACTCTCTCGGCAGATGGCTAGATGCTACAGCTTGGCCCTCAAAAGCCACAGCTAACCACTCATGGGAAAGGTTTAGTTTGTCATGGTTTTCTTGTCAGATCTTGCTCCAGTTGAGGCTTATAGCTAGACTGAGTGCAGAGCTCCAGGGGAAGGTTCCAGAAGGACTGTGCCTCAGGAACCACAATCTCTTCCTGAGTTCCTAGGTGGACAGAGGTAGAGCACAGGTTGCACCAGTCATAGGTCCCAGCCTTGCATCCTCCCCAGCCATTTCAGGCTGAGGGGTTTATGAACTTCCTCAGACACACTGTCCACTAGGCAAGCACAAGATGGCAGAGAATTAGATGCCAGAGAGTCAAAAATAGAAGTGGTTAAAATGTTTTTTTTTTTTGGCAAACTGAAATTTATTGATACATTGTCAGTTTTGATTAAAAAACAAGAAAAATTGACAAAATTCAGGGGGGAAATTGTTTTTGTCAAAAATTTACATAGGGTGGGTGGAAATAATTTCCTGATGGGCTCTAGTGAAAACCACTGCAAACAGCAATTTTCGCCAAAACCGCACAGGAACTTAGAGTACAATGAGAAGATGCTTCAATGACAAATCACATCTCACCAATGTTTGTCTGTGTGTCTTAATTATTCATTTTCTTCTGGGGAGTAATATTTGTTCACAAAAAAATACACTGTTCATGAATTCAAATGTGGTTTTAAAACAAAACATGTCCTTTGTGGGTCACTAGCAGAGAAGCAGCGCGACTGTGCTGTTTGCTTTTAGCAGCTCGGCAGTGTGGCATCAATGATAAATGGATGTGAGAATTCTATTAGCATGTCTTCATACTGAGATGTTACCTGGTCATATTGCAGTGCCTTGTGGGAAAGACTAGCATATTGAAGGCTCAAGCGATTCTTCTCTTGCACAGCATCCTTCAGTTCATTTTCCTAGAACAGAAGAAAAGGTGTTACAGGCCACTCATCTACAGTCTTTTAAATTGCATGTATCTTAAGTAATCAATGGGTGTGCTTTACTGGATATTAACACAGTCAGGCACAAGGCCGAAGGTCCTGAAGGTGCAAAACCTGCAGAGCTATTATGGACTATAAATGACTGCCACCACATTTTTCAATAGGGGATTTGGAGATGGTAAAGTGGGTAAATCTGATTAAAGACACACAGATGAAGGGACATGACTCGACTCCACAGACCAGACAAGTGAAATACACAACTCTCCATGGAGTTAATGAGAGCCCTACCCTTGCAGCAGCAAGACTTGAAGATGGCAAGATTCTTGCCCTAGGTTTTCCTGAAGAACCAGAAGGGAAGAGAAACCAGCAGGACCCTCAAAGTCAGAAGTTCACAATACACCACAGCTACGACAGAGAGTCAGCGATTACTGAGGAGCAATTCTCTCCATTTTCTAATATCCACATACAGCACCTGGATACCACAGTGATAGGCACTTCAGATGTGAGAACAGAAAGATAATATAGCCCCAGGTGTTATCTACAGCTGTAGCTAGGTATACTGGTGGGCAACATGGCTGTAATGGGGTCCTCGGTGGGCCGAGGAGCCTAGCAGTTAGCGTCTACTCGGTCATGGGGCAGAAGTAGTGGAGACCAGGCCCATCTACTCCACCGGGCTCTAGCCTAGGGCCCTAGGAAGGTCAGCAGCATTTGGTATTCAGGAGGGGCCCTTTGAGCTACCTTCTGTGGGTTGCTTCCTTCCCTCAGCTTCTGGTCCCAGATAAGGGGAAAAGAAAAAGTAAAAAGGAAACCAAAACGGCCAGCCTCGGCTGGGCTCTGTTCCTTCAAGGCGGCTTCTCCAGCCCCTTTCGGAAGGAACCTTCAGGGTAGGTCTGCACTCCCCCCCAGCCTCCCCTTTCTGAGCTGGGTTGCTTCCTTTTCAAGGCTGTCTCCAGTTGGAGCATGCTCTGGAGGGTTGGAGGGGCCCAGTATCGTCATTTAACCCCTTCCGTCCCAGTGTGGGGTTTGTATATCCCATCAGAATGGCACTATAAGGAACACGAAATAAAGAAGAGTTAACAAACCACAAAAGATTAGGTGGTTAACGTTCTGTCTTTGGGAACGAAAGAGGCTATTTCCGGTGACATAACTGAGGCAGGGTCCTCTGCCTGTTCTGAAAACCTTTTTTTTTTTGCAGAAGTTCAAGAATGGTGACTATATGAAATCGAAGTCTTTCAGAGCCATCCCAAGGAAAACGACTACTGAAAGCATTTTGGCAATGAGTGAGACTTGACTGAAAGGGCTGGGTAAAAAAAACAATTTATATTGGCTGAGCTGTGAATTTTTCCAATAGGGTACATTTTAGATTCTGCTCTATTAATAAAACCAGATCAAAGTACAACACATTCAGTCAGTTCATGTATTTATTTTTTTAATTTAAAAACCTAAAGTAGGCTGACGTTAACCCCTGATGAAAGTTGCAATCTCGGGGCTAACTTTAGGATTTTTGCTGACCTACGTAACCTGGAACAGCCCGACCCGAAGGTTTTCATTACTACAGTGCCAACTGAAAATTCAGCTCAAGTTAGATAAAAGAATCACTAGGTTTGTAAACCTCTCAATAGCCCCACTGGTTCCCAAACATAACTCTTTGAAATTCCACTGATCTGCTTGGCAGACAGAGCTCTTCTCACTCTGCTTAGGTATCAGGCAAAGCAGCTGGAATAGAACCGCTCAAAAGTTTTCACACACAATATGTTGTTTGTGAACATTTCTTTTAAAAAGCAAACTTTTTGTGAAAAATCCTTCCCATTAACAATAATTTCCACTTTTTGCAAATTTTTCACAATATTTTTAACCAAAAATGTTCTTGAAATTTCAAACAAAATCATTTTCAAAATCACTATCAATTTTTATTATTTATCAAAAACAGATTTTCAATAAGATGTGCTTTTCAGTAAACAAAAAATTCCATTTCAATTTTTTTCCATGATATTTCAACCAAACATTTTCTTTAAGCAAAATCATTATCCACATTTTTTGTTTACCAAAACTCAAGTTTTGAGTAAGAGAATGTGGTTTTCAGTAAACAAAAAATGTTGATAACAATTCAGTTAAAAATGCCAGTTACATAATTGCAAAATATTTCACAATAAAATGGAAAATGGGTCCATATCAAATTCTGTTAAATGGAAACAACTTTGGAATTTAAAAGTTTGCTTTACATCTCCTCCTCTCCCTCTTGCACCCCGTACCCCCTTTTACAACCAGCTCAAAGTTGCATACTGGAGGGAACCGGGGACTAAAACAAGCCTAACTGGCTTCCATACTGTGTGAAAAAAGCCACTTCTATTGAGCTTCCTTGTGCTCGGTTGCAGCCCACAAACACAGCGAACCTCAAGCACAAGGCTGAATTTGAAAGGGATTGATATTCAGTGTAATTAGCACAGCTAATTTTTTACATATTAAAATACCATCCTGACTCTCTCATCCCCAGCACAATTGTAAGATCTCTTCCCCTGACTTTTCTGAAGCTCTCCTCTGGCTATTAAATATCGACTGCTACTATGCTGAGCATAAAAAGAGAGAGGCTGCACTTTGCAGAGTATTCAGTCTCCTAGGTGCAGATGTATCATCTCACACATAAGAAGCTCATTAATTATAATTTCTCAAATTCTGTTCAATCCGTTGATCAGGATGCAATTAAAAGTGGCAGTCATACTCTGTGGGATGCTAGACAGTTCTGTGGGGCAAAACAACGAGAATTTCATAGCTTGTGTTCCATTTTAAAAGCTGTGAACTAAGTCAATACATATTTTTAGGATATGAGCAAACTGCACAAAAATAGAACAAACCCTTGGATATGCATTTTTTTGCATTATGAAGCATTAAGTAATTTGTACAAAACCATAAATTTCCACTGTACTTTACAGAGAATAAGACATGTCACTTCCTCTTTACATTTTATAGGTCTTACCCTGTGTCACCGAAGACGGAAGGAGGTTTGCCATTGACTTCAGTGGGTCAGATTCTCAGCTGGTATAAATCAATATAGCTCCACTGACTTGAATGGATTTGGGACAACTAAACAGTAACTGATGATCTAGCCCAATGAGTGAAGGATCTGGCCCTAAGACAGCCATGGCAAATGGCAAAATATGAAGTGAAGGAAAACAGTTCAATGGAGGGAGAGGGTAACGTGCCTTATCCCAGATAGCTTGTGTCTTCAGCAGAACTATACCAATATAGATTCAAAAGGGTGAAATACTGGCTCGACTGAAGTCAACGGAATTTTTGCTGGTGACTTTAATGGGGTCAGGATTTCACCCGTACAATTTAAGCCTGGGAGGAACCGATAGTCTGACATTGAAATTCATGTATTACCAAACACATTTGTTATGTGGCATAGATAAAATCATCATTGCTGTAAGATTGTTATGATCTAATATGATCTCTTGCATAACACAGGCCAAAAAACCTCACTGATTTTGGCCCTGAGCCAATAACTTCTATTTGCGCTGTATCACATCTTCTAAAAAAGAGCCAGTCTTGATTTAAAAACTTCAAGTGATAGAGAATCCACCACATCCTTAAGCAAGTTGTCCCAATGGTAATTGATTTCACCGCTAATATTGGCACCTAATTTCTAGTCTGAATTTGTCTAGTTTCAGCTGCCAACCACTGGACCTTGTTACACATTTTTCTGCTAGACTATAGAGCCATCTAATTATGAGAAATCTCTGCCCCCTATAGATATTTGTAGAATGTCATCAAGTCACCCATACCCTTCCCTTGGATAAGCTAAATACAGATTTGTAGTTTGGAATAGTACAGATGTTTGTCATGTATCTTGCATAACAATCATGGCAGTTGGACAAACGATGAGCAAATTAAATGTGTAGCGTAACACTGCTTACTGCAGCAGACGCTTAATCTAGTCTTTAAAATTATTATTACGAGGAAATCAGGCAGAAATAAAAAACAAAGAATGCAAAAACTAGGCCAGCATGCTTCAGACTGTTTTAATTCTCCAGAAAGGAAACTAGTTCTATGAGACAGAGCGCAGAGCCATTTGGCTGGCCCTTAATCCTACCTGAAGGGAGATATATTTTATCACGTTATTTGCAAGGATGAACTAAAATAGGACAGTAACCACCTCAGTTTCACTGGACCTTAGTTCTAAGCTATTTGTTTGCACTTACATTTGTTGTTCACTATGGTTGTCATTTCTTTCACTGATTTGCTTTATGGAATACGCCGCCTCACGACATTTGCCAAAGTAAACAACCGCCCTGGCTCCCCATCACAAATACAACTTTAGGGATAAAGAATTATTTGTGACAGCAGCATCTGCTGGCAGAATTCTAGCCTGAACAATATATAGAACAAAACTTAACTGTAGACAGGCCTGTTTTATGTCAACACCCCTGACCAATGCAGCTATGCTGACCTAGCCCCCAAGCGCATGCACGGCCATGTTGACGGAAGAACGCTTCTGTTGATGTAGCAGCTAGCATTGTTCATGGAGGTGGTTTTCCTACATCAATAGAAAACCCCTTTATCGGTTTAGGCTGCATCTACACTATGCCAGCATAACTATGACAACCTAGCTATGTCAGTATAGTCTCCAAAGTGTAGACATACCCACAATCACAACAATCAAGACACCCAGATGCTCAGGTCTTTTCCTGAAATTTCGACAGTGATATCATTTATTTATAAGCTTTCTGATGGTACTCATCACGGTAGTATTGGTGCACCACACATACATTAATAGATGTATTCTTAGAACACCTTTATCTTCTCTCTTTCAGAGATGCAGAGCAAAGGCACAAAGAGGTTAAATGACATATCTAAGGTCACACATAAAAAATCAATGGCAAATCCAGGAACTTCTGAAGTCTGGTCAACACTTAAAATTTAGGTTGACATAGTTGTAGGGCCCTGGGCATGAAAAATATATATCCCTGAGAGCAGTA